TAATTCAGCTATTGAATAGTCAAGGGCATTTTTTAAGCAATTATCAGTTATTACTATTTGCAATATTTTACCATAATAAACCCAGACCTCCGGTGAAGAGGACCACAATGCCAACCAAATTCCCATACCAATGTTATCTACCACTTCAATCATTTTCTGCAGTTCATCTGGACAGATGTCAGGGCAGTGGGTGAAGCCAAAGTAGATCAGCACCCACTGCCCAATGTAGTCCTCGTTGGTCTTGGGCTGTCCCTCATGACTGACGAGAGAGAAGGGCCCTCCAAGCAGTGGTTTCCCAATGCCTCTGTTTCTTTCCTTCTCCAAAGCTACAAAAAAACAAGAGGGGATCAGACACATGCATGCCACAATCCACACTGCTTCACAGGCAAGACTCGGAAGCTGGAGAGTCTGGCAACCTCACAGCCTAGGGCACTGAAACATGCTCTACCAAAGCCCATCATGGCCAATGTGGACAAGACTTTCAAAAAGCACTCCATTTTGGGCAAATATATCTCCAAACTCCTTTGAAACATAACCACAGAACCATGGAATGGTTTGGGCTGGAGGAGACCTTACAGCTCATCCAGTTCCAACCCCTGCCATGGGCAGGGACTCCTGCCACTAGAGCAGGGTGCTCCAAGCTTCCCTTGAACACTGCCAGGGATGGGGCAGCCACAGCTTCTCTGGGCACCCTGTGCCAGCGCCTCAGCACCCTCACAGGGAAGAGCTTCTGCCTGAGAGCTCAGCTCAGTCTCCCCTCTGGCCATTTTAAATGGCCAGCTTAAAGACATTCCCCCTTGTTCTATCACTACATGCCATATTGCCATTTGATTGCATTTTTACATAAAGAAAAAAAAGTCAGGTACCCAGTGTAGGGTGAAACAGAAAAATCAGCATCCTTTACAAAGTGAACATACCCTAAAAGCCGCAAGATCTCCAGTTTCCCACACTGAAAGCATGAGAATGAAGCACGTGAGCAGTCACCACAGGGCAGGTGGATGCACACCAGCACAAACCCCACATGCACAGACAGCCTCACCTCGGTGCCTGCAGTGCATGGGCGGGCAGCGTGAGCAGACATAGATATCCCAGCAGCAAAGACACGGTTAGGAGGTTCAAAATGCTGAACCTTGAAGGAGTGCTTTGAGTATTTTGTTTGCTTGTTTTAAGTTTTCTGAGGCACTCTGCATACACAACGGGCACAAAGCATGACACGATTCAGCAAGTTAGCAAAGTGCGTAATGCCACGGCTGGTCTGGAAAAGGCCTTTAAGTTCATCCAGTCCAACCGTTCCCCAGCACTGCGAGGCCACCCATGGCACTGAGGGCCCCATCAGCCTCCTCTGCACACGCAGAGCACACTCCCTGCACCCGGAGCGCGGCTCTGCTGCTACTGCTCCCACCGTGCTCCCCCGTGAGGCAGGCAGGGCCTGGCCCCTCACCCCGCACTCACCCTCCTCCTTCCACTGCTTCACCTTCTTCATGCCGGCCAGGAACCCTCCACACAGGACGAAGGTGGCGGCCAGCGACCGCCACGACACCAGCTGCAGAGAAGAAGCTGTTCAGGGGCTGAAAAAGCCGTGGTGACAGCGCGGCGCGGCCCGGCCCGCGGCCCGTCCTGTCCCGCCACCCCGCTGAGGAAGGACGCGCCTCCCCCGCTCCCGTACTCACCCTCCATTGCGCGCCCTTCCGCGGGCCGCTGCCCGGCGGCAAGCGGGACACGGAGCGGCTGCAGGAGGCGGGCAGCACCACCCGGCTCCTCACCGCAGCGCCCGTCAACCGCCAGCACAACACCACACGGCCACACCACCTCCCGGCCGCCGCCATCTTATGGCCGCTCTTCCGTGCCCGCCCCTTCCGGTTACGGCGGGCGGAAGCGGCCGCCATGGAGGCGGTGCCGCCGCTCTTCTGCTTCGGTGTCGTCGCAGACATCCAGTACGCGGACGCGGAGGACGGGTACGACTTCGGGGGGCGCCGGCGGCGGTACTACCGGCACAGCCTTAACCTGCTGCGGGCCGCGGTGGAAGCGTGGGCCACTGAGAAGCCGCCACTCGCCTTCGTGCTGCAGCTGGGTGACAGCATCGATGGCCTCAACGCCCGCAGCGGCCAGTCCGAGCGTGCCCTGGAGCAGGTGCTGGCAGCGCTGGGGCGGCTGTCGGTGCCGGTGCATCACGCGTGGGGCAACCACGAGTTGTATAACTTCAGCCGGGCCCGCCTGGTGAACACCGGCCTCAATAGCCGCTCCTGCGGGGCCGCAGCCGGGCCCCCCGCCAGCGACTGCCAGGCCTATCACTTCAGCCCGGCCGCGCAGTTCCGTGTCGTCGTGCTCGATGGCTACGACCTCAGCACGCTGGGCAGGGAGCCCGGCAACCCCCGCTACCAGGAGTCCCTGCGGCTGCTGCGGAAGAAGAACTCCAACGACAACCTCAACGACCCCACAGGTACCCCCCTGCGCCGCTGATGTTTAGAGCATGGAAGCGTGAAGTGCTGAACTTCTCCCATGGAAGCATGGGTGGCGGAACCTCTGCTTCCCAAGGCAGGTCCCTGAGCTGGCTTCTGGTTGCCAGAAAGCTGAGGCACGTGTCCTGGTTCTGCTCGCCTCTTTGCTGTCAGCCGAGAGAGTCAGTGGGTCTCTAGGTGGACGCAAGAGATGCTCCCTTGTACCTGCCATGGTGCTTTGGGAATGGGTTTAATGTGCTGTGTGCCTTGCAGTATCAGAACAACAGCCTATGCAACTGCTATTACAGAGTGTAAAGTGATGCCCACCCTAGCCCATGCCTTGGGGGACCCAGTAGTGGAAATCCTGTGTGTGCAGCATGACCAAACCCTCCCAAAACACTAGCAAATGATTTTCTCTTGCTTGTCCAAGGAGGCTGGAGTTCAGATCCAACAAAACAGTTTGAAGAGTAAACTATCTATCATAAGCAGACTTACATAAGGCAAGCAAATTCAGGAGCCACAAAAGTGCACGCACCTATGCCTGACGTTCTTCTTCATTGCAGGACTTAAAGAACCTCAGTTTGTAGAGTTTAACGGAGGATTTAGCCAAGCCCAGTTGGACTGGTTCAATGAAGTCCTCAAGTTCTCCGATGAAAACCAAGAAAAAGTCATAGTCACGGGTAGGTGGTTATAGGAGGTATATGGGGATATATGCAAAAAGACCTAGCCAGTGGATGTTAGCTGAAGAAAACATGTAGCAGCTTTATAGCTCTACTGAGGTTCACAGGTAACCTGTGAAGGAGAATAGGACCCATATCTCACACTTGTGTGAGCTTTCTATATGCAGATACCTGAACTTGCCAGCAATAAAGGCAGAGTTAGGTTACACTTAAAGTAACTGTCCTGTGTTTTTCCTTCTCAACTGCAGGTCACCTGCCCATTCATCCAGATGCCTCAGACTGGGTTTGCTTTGCCTGGAATTACAAAGATGCCCTTTCGGTCATACACGCCCATCAGTGCGTGGTCTGCTTTCTTGCAGGGCACCTGCACGACGGTGGCTATTGTTTAGACTCACATGGAGTTCACCATCTGACTTTGGAGGGGATTATTGAAACTCCACCAGAAAGCAATGCCTTTGGGACTATTTATGTCTATAAAGATAAAATGATACTAAAGGGAAGGGGCAGAGTTTCAGACAGAGTTATGCATTTCTGAAAAAGGTAAGCAAATACAAATTGCTGTTCTTCAGGAAGTACTTGAACTAAAAATAGAGGATTCAGCTTATTATATGCTTGTAGAAAGATGTGCATGGCTGATCCTTATACCTTTAATTCAAACATTTTTCTCCTGGATGCTCAATTTTAGAAATTATGTTTCTGTAAGAAAACAGACCTAATTTCTTCATGGAGAATAGAGAAGGCCAGTAGCCATATGTGAAATATACTTGAATGCAAAATGTTGACCTGACACACCTGTTCCTGACTGGATTGGTATGTACTGTGAAAAAAATGAACCCCACGTTATGAATATTGTCCAAAAAAACAAAGCCACTTTTTTTGTGTCAGAATTAAAGCATGCAGAATTGTACCTGCCCAGCCATTTCCATCTTAGGTGTTTTTCTGAACATCATGATCAGTAATGTCTCATGTCTGTCAGAATTACTCTGCCTTGTAGCCTAATGCAGCCTTCTTAACGTTGCTTTGAAAGACTAAAACAGTCAAAATCAGCTAAGCCCAAGGAAAACAGACGAATTATGCTACATCCTTTAATGCTGCAGATACACCTGCTAGGATCTAGGCAGCAGCACTGGGTGAAGAAGCCCTGACATGGAAGGATGTTGCTGCACTGCATCTGGACCTCTGTGGCTCTCTCCCAGCCCAGAATATTCACCTGAGTGTCCTTGTCCAGGATCAGTAGCAGTGGAACATGGTGGCTGCTGCTGGGCTGCCTTCCAGGAACAAAGTGTTATGAGAAGCAGAGCTGTGATAGTGACCACATCTGCTGGGGACAGTCAAGAGTGCACATCCCACAGAAAATAACACAGAAGCTTTCATTGCATTTTCTTTAGAAAATTAGTATTTATTACTCTGTAAAACTAAGAATTTTCAGTGAAAGATAACAGTAAAAATACTTCTTCAGATAGTTCTACATATTTAGGGCAGGAACAGACTGCTCAAACATTGTTAGTCTCAGTGGACTATCCAGGCAGGTATCTGGAAGATTTATGGCTGTAAGCAGTCATTTATTGAAACAAAGTGTGTGCTTTACTTTCCTCTTACAATACAGAGCAGCAGGTTTCCCTGCTGATCAGAAAGTGATCTGGGGATGCCAGAGTATCTTGGTTATAACATCTGAACACATATGAATTCAACAGTGCTTTGAAAATGTAGGAGGAAGCCAGGTGAACACCACTTCCCACAGGAAAATCCTCCACTCAGATTTGACTGTGTTCCTCAGTTTCTATAACAAATCTCAACCTGCGGTGCTGGAAACAGCCAGACGTTCTTAGGTCGTCTCCAACTGATACGAACCCTTCATTAAGAACCAAAAAGCAAAGGCAAATAAGGTCAAAATATTTATTCTATACTATCTCCCACCCACTAAATCACTGTTTTACAGTGTGTTGGCCAAGATTCTCGCATCTCCTTGTTCACATAAATGTACAGCCACGACACAAAGGGGAAGAGTGTGACTGCCACTGCAGCAGTCAAGTGAACTCCAGCCAGTGGGTTCCTAGAAAGAAGCAAACACAACAGAGCTGTTTCAAATCAATCTGCTATGAAACAGTCACACCTGGCTGCTGTTGGAAAGACAGCAAAGAGCCTTTGGCCACTCTGATGTAGCTCCTGTTGGTGCATTAGCACAGTACTTTTGCACAGAGGCACCATGTTGCAGCAGAAGTTTCTGCCACCTCATAAACCAGGTAAATAAATAGATAAAAGCACCCTAGTTGCCCAGAGGCATGTGTGTGTTTGCCAGCACAAAGGTACTGTTTGGCAGATTGGGAATTCTCCTGCTCCCAGCTAACAGGAATTTAGCAAAACAGCTGTAGCACAATGCTCTGAAGAGGCTGGAGGGGGAAAATGTGGAACCACTGCACCCACCCAGAGCCCTGTACACCTCTGGTGTATGGAGGGGACAGCAGCACAGAGACCCTCACTGGGAAGCTCCGTAACGTGGGAGCAATGGCAAAAATGGCTTTGCAGTTCATTAGCAGTTGTGGCCAACACTCCCTAGGCTGTTCCACTGAAGCCCAGGGAGTGTCCTTGTGCAAAGGGAGGCTGTCCCCTGCCATTATGGGTGGGGAGCAGAAAAACTTTCATATTCCTTTACTCCCCACTACAGACTTGTACCTGTACAAGATCCTCCAGGCTGTAGCACCAGCTAGTACTGCTTAGGTATCTGAGAGAGTTCAGGCAGTGACAGGAAGCAGAAAACCAAGCAGCCAAAATGAACTGAGAAGCTCTAAGCATGAGATATGAACATGTGAATGGATTTCAAAGAAAAAAAGGAAATAAAACTTACTTGGCTGAACTGCGACAAAGCCTCATCCATACTGCGATTATCACCAGACCAAACAACTCTCTAAAAAGCCAAACAAAAAACAGGTCACAAAATAATACAAGCAGGTGTTTATTAAAAAATATGTAAATAAATACAAGTTTTGCCTCCAAACCAGCACTGTTGCTCCTGTGAGAAGTTCAGTGTATTTTACTAGGATTGTAACTGTAAAGGTACTTACACAGAGTAACTTTGCTTCCCACCACAAAGCTACAAACACACGTGACCCAGCTATACATCTGCTTTCACTTTATGTTCTGTTGCTAAACTTCTATTCCCCAGCACATTTCTCTCCTTAACACAGAGCAAAGCAGCATCCCAGCATTCCAGACCATAAACAGCCACAGTGCTTCACATCAACACTGTGCAAGCACCTACGTGAGGCCACAACTGAATGTCCAGGTGAGAAGTCCTCCCTCCCTCATCCCTGCCAGTCAGAGCACTCAGCAGCCTGTGCTACATAAACAAGCATGTGTTGAAAACACCAATTCCCATTCCTGCAGCTCCAGCAAGAGCACCCAAAGCTGTTTCACTGTGCCAGTGCCCTCCTCTTTGAAAGCCAGAAGTTCCCCCACTAAAATCTGTGTGCCACAACCAGGCAAGCAGTCAGGACTGCTCACCCTCCCTTTGTCCAAGAAACCCCTGTCTGGAGCACTATAGTCACTTCTGCTTGGTTTGATTCCCCTGGACCAAGAGAACTCACTGCAGCAGCCCAGCAGATAAAGTTTAGAAGGTGACCACCGAAGGAGATGGCCTGGAGTGCTGAGTTCATGCAGGGGGGATTTATTCACCACTTACCGGCCTTCTTCCTCATGTAAAATGTTTCCTTGAGCATAAGCAAACAAAGAGCAAGCCAGAGCAATGGTCCCAATGATACATCCAGCAGAATGAAGGTCACAGAGGCTCCTCCAGACACGATTACCTGGGGAAAAAACAGACTGGCAGCAACTGCAGTGTCACTTGAAGGAAACCTATACATCAAAAAGCAACTGAGTCACTAAAATAGATGCCTTCAGCAAACACACATGCACCTTAAGCAGGAAGACTGAATTAATACCAGTATCTCTATGACCAGGGAAATCTGTTTAAAAGTGCTGATGAAAACAAACACTAGTGGGCTTGGAGCTTGCTTCCTTGGCAGCACCTCAATGAAGAGTTTCCTATTCTCTCCAGTAAACACAAGAGGCTCCAGCATTTGACATACATGGGAAAAAAATCACAGAGTGGAGCACAAAGGAGAGTTCTCTTAAGCAGGAGGAACAGCCTTTCTGGAGCTCCAGCCAGAACCAGATGCTCAGCATGACCCAGAGGCCAGGGGAGCAGCCCTAGCTCTCTGCCAGCCTCAGGGGCACAGAGCAACCACCCCCCTGCAAGGAGCCTCTTCCTTCACACTTCTTAATAAGCCTCTGCCTGAGGTTTGCCTCTGATGATGAGCATCACTGCTGACACCTCTGCCTGGGGAGCTGATGTTTAAAAAGAGAATTAAAGATGATGTGAAGTATCTGGATGGGCCCAAAGACTGCTGTGGTTTTCCATGTCTATTCCCAGACGCTAGTGGGGGGAGATGGGCAAAACCTTGGTGCTTGACCCCTCCAGGCAAGCATTAAAGATGAGCTGCCAAGATTGAAGAGCTCAGCATGACCCAGCATTGTAATTGATTTCCCATCTGGCTGAAGTTACTGCAGCTCAGCAGAGGCAGAATTTGGGTCTTCCACAGAGTGGAATGGCAAAATGTCCCCTGGTGAATGTACATAAATGTGCAGTCATACAATAGTTGTGCTATTTTAATCTTTATTTTCCACAGATCTTGGCACAAAAAAAAAACTACTTTTGAGTTTAACATGCAAATTCTCTTGACCAAATACCATTATGTTGAAGTTAAACCTATTACACAATAAACCTCCCCTGCAGCACTGATAAACCACTGGCAAACAACCCTCATGGGTTTTGGCTTGATGAACGCTTCATATGCTTAATGTAGCCAGAATGCTGAGAGGCTGCAATGGTGTCATCTGTGACAACAGCATACACTCCTGAAGATTTTCTGGCATACATGTAGTTTAGTCAGAGTAAGGATCCATCCAGAAAAGATCCAGTCACTTCATGCATACAAAATGTCAGGTTTAAAGTTATTTCTACTGGATGAAAATACAAAAAAATTAACTATTTTCCAGAGGCCTGGACCAAATCTGATATTCTCTCAACATGTGATGTGGCATTAGAGCACTTGGTGCATGCCCTTGGAAACTCAGCCACAGCACTGAAGCATGTAACAGGTCCCATCACTGTCTGTGCGCTTTGAGGGGCAGCTGCAGTGCTTGATAGTGAACAAGACCTTTAGTTCTTTCCGTGCAGAGGTCAACTGCTCTTCTATGAGGTAGATAAGCAAAACCACAATTTACATCAGGGAAACAAAGTGTATTAATGAGCTAACGTCAACACCAGAGCTCGGCTTGTGTTCTACTCAGGCTTTGAGCACTGGAACCAGGGTGCAAAGGTAAGATCACTCCAGCAGCTGCCCTTTATCCAGGGCTCCTCCACTCACCTGCAATTCATCCAACTGATGACCAGCTTTTGTAGAAGCAGGTTCCACAGATTTTTGCCCTCAAGATATATTAGGACATGTTTCTTAACTGATTTTAATCTATAATTTAATAGATAAAATTCGGTTTTGAGCAGACTGTTCTGCACACTGATGTCATACCTGTTACTGAAGGGTTTATGCTGACAAGGAGCGTCAGGGCAGCTGGCACTAAGTAGACAACCTATTAATGAAATACAAATCTACTCTGTAGCAGAGCTTAGTGAGACACACAGCAGTGCCCAGCCACAGCAGCTGCCAGATGTGGGGAACAGCTGCCACTTTCCCACCCCTGGCATGCCCTGGCACTGCCACTGCCCATCACCACTGCCACCCACCATCCTGGACCATCAGCTGAGTGTCAGCCCCAGCTCCTCAGCCCCTGGGTTACCAACCACCCCATTCACTGCATCTTGATTCCAGGGAAAGCCCCACAGGGGCTTTCCAGACCCCAACCCTCCACCTACACTGGGCAGCTCCGTTGGGAGCAGGAGCCTGGCTGGGCTCCCCCACACAAGGGATGTCCCCAGCACAAGGGACAGACCCTGCCACCCAGCAGCTCTCGTCACACTGCGCCTGTGCCGCTCAGCTCCAAGCCAGGCACACGGTGCCAGGGCCGCCAGGCTGCTCCCGTGCCCGAGGACGGGCTGGCAAAGTAGACTGGGAACTGGAGGGTTTCTCTGATTGCCCCTTGAGACCGAGGCAGCCCTGTCAAGCTGACAGGGACGGGCCAAGGGGAATGGCTTGAACCTGCCAGAGGGGAGACTGAGCTGAGCTCTTAGGCAGAAGCTCTTCCCTGTGAGGGTGCTGAGGCGCTGGCACAGGGTGCCCAGAGAAGCTGTGGCTGCCCCATCCCTGGCAGTGCTCAAGGCCAGGTTGGACACAGGGGCTTGGAGCAAGCTGCTCCAGTGGAAGGGGTCCCTGCCTGTGGCAGGGGTTGGACCTGGATGAGCTTTAAGGTCCCTTGAACCCAAACCATTCCATGACTCCATGACTCCAGCCGTTGCTGCAGCAGGGACCGGGTTCCCGGCGCCTGCTTGCTCTCCATGTAAAAGCAGGGAGCAGGGGAAGGGCGGTCCCGTACTCACAGTCCACAGCCCGGCGTCGGGGTCGTTCACCTGCAGCGGAAGGTGCGCACTGAGACCCGGCCGGGGCCGCGCTCCGCGGGGAGCGGTGCGGAGGGGAGCGGTGGGAGCGGTGCGGAGCTTCCTGCCGCCCCCCTCCGGGCGGTCCCGCTCTCACCTGCACTGCGGCCGCCAGCCCGAAGAAAGCGGCCATGAGGAGGTTGCAGCCCCGCCACAACCGCCCCGCCATGGCCATGGCCGCCGGGGAGGGCCGCAGCGACGGGGCGGAGCCGGTGGCGGGTTCGGGGTGGCCGCAGCCGATGCGGGTCAGAGCGGCTCGTTCGCAGTTCCCGGTCTCTCAGAAGGCAATTCCGCCCTGTCCATCGTCCCCTGTGAGGAAGGATGCGGAAGACCTGGAGCGGGTCCTGGCAGCGACGGCCCCGGCGGGTCCGGAGCGCAGGGGACTTTGAGCAGCAGTGAGCAAAGCGCAGCAGTAACGTGGAACTGCCCCTGGAGTGGCTGCCGAGAGCACAGAGGCGTGTTTGCCTCGCCGGCAACAGATGATGTATCAAGGGGCGCTGGCCACAGATGGTGGCTTGGAAGGTTTTCATAGGCAACCCAACGGGAGGGTGGTGCAGCATGCAGTAGCTGACCCAGCCGGGCTGTGTGAGCCCCATCCTTGGAGATTTCCAGGGAAGCTCTCTAGACAAAGCCATGGCTCACCTGATCTGATGTGGTGGCAATCTTGCTTCAGTTGGGCTGTTAGACTGGAGAGCTCCAGCTGTGCCTTCAGAGCAACACTGCCATGGTTCTGGCATAATTCATGTGCTTGAAAGAGAATTAGATTTTTGCCCCAGTGAATGCACACCAACAAACTTTTACAGTAAAACTGGCCAGTGGTTATGCAAAAGTTAAACCCCTTAAGAGGGGCCCTAAAGCCCCACCTGAGCTGTGACAGGAGCACTCAGCACAGCCCATGGAGCCTGTTGATCCAGTCCTTGACCCATGGGCTGACATCCCAGCTTGACCTCAGAGTTGCCACATCACCATAGATCTCACCAGCCACCTTTAAGCTATGGCTGATGATGCTCACCCTCACCAGGCCTGATCCTGATTCAACACGTAGGTTGATTTCCTAGCTTGACCCCAGGCTTTGCCTTGTCTCCAGGAATCTGGCTGGTGATCTGGGCTCTCGATTGGATCTGGCTGCAGTCCCTGGGTCTGCCCTGCCTGCCCCACACCAGGGCAGTGGGACAGGCATTGCCCGTGCACCGTTGGCTGTGGTGTCCTCCCTGGTGTAGCCTGGCTGAGGTTGAGATGACTGTGGAGCTGCACCATCAGTCACCACAGTGAGCTAGTGGGTGCTGGGGCATGTCTGAGCTCAGAGAGGTCCATGTAGAGGTTGGGAAGAGCCATGGTCAGCAGTATAGCTGCACATCAGACTGTGGCAGTGTCATTGCAGGGCAGGGAGTGCCTATTACTGCTGTTTCTATAGTCATAGAATCACAGCCCACCTTGTTTCTGGGCTGGGCTGGGCTGTTGTTGGCCATGTCACGGGTGAAGGGGAGCCAGCTGGGAGAAACTGGTGGAGACATATCCTGAGCCCTCCTGCGGAGGCACAGGTCTCATACTGAGGGGAAGAGGCTGCTGAGCAGGCAGATAGCAGCTTCTCCTGGGCATCATCATCCTGGGATGTGGAGGGTTTGGCAACCCTGCGAGCGACCAGGGCTCAGTGACGCAAGAGCGAGAAAGGGCAAAAGGCCTGCCTGTGTCCTGTGAGGACAGGGCAGGAAGGACAAGGTTGATTTACCAACCGTGGTGTCTGGGTCTGTCTTGTTCTTTGATGCTCAAATTCAAAAGCAATCGGGCTGTAGTGTCTTTTAGAAATATAAAGGATTTTTAGTGTTAGGTGTGCAAAGAAAAGGTCGAGGTTATTCACTTCAAAGCTTTACTAGTTTCCATGTGCAGTTCCTATAACCAGCCTCTTCTGTGGACTCGGGAGACTGAAGAGAGCCTCCAGCAATGCTGCTTTCGCCCATAAGAGGGAGGCCGAGAACATTCAGGACCCCTGAGTAGAACCTGAGCTGCTGTAAAATCAATTCCTCACTATTGAATAGAACACTTTCCCTCCTTACGCCTCTCTAGAGCTGCTGCTTAGCCCATTGAAGCCTGAGCTTGGCTTCAGCTCAGAAGCGCAGCTGTAAAGTACAGAGGTTTCCCATGAGAGTGCTGCAGAGGGAGAGTGCTGCTGGAGAGGGACTCTTCATCAGGGATGGTAGCAACAGGACAAGGAGCGATGGGTTCATACTGAAACAGGGGAGATTTAGGTTAGATATAAGGAAGAAGCTCTTCCCTTTGAGGGTGCTGAGGCGCTGGCACAGGGTGCCCAGAGAAGCTGTGGCTGCCCCATCCCTGGCAGTGTTCAAGGCCAGGTTGAACACAGGGGCTTGGAGCAACCTGCTCTAGTGAGAGGTGTCCCTGCCCATGGAAGGGGTTGGAACTGGATGAGCTTTAAGGTCTCGACCAGCCCATCCCATTCTATGGATCCAGCAGCCAAGCTGTGATATCAGAAGAGGCAGGCTGTTTCCCAAGAGCCTGTACCAGAGATGTTACTGAGGCATTGACATAGTCACCCATCCCAGTGGCCCTCTCCATCCCTGTGGACAGCAGTGATGCTGCCACAAATGGCCATAGATGTGTTTTGATGGGATCCAAACTGGATAAGAGGCTGCAGTTGGACAGGTGAAGGGCTCAGAGGCTTTGGGGTGTTCTTGGCTCCAGGACCCTGAACTACAGTTCACAGAGAAGCAGCTGGAGATAAGTGCATGTTGATATGCATGTGCATATGTATGCACAGTTAATATTGTCAAAAGGGCTTTGGGTTTAGTTGCCTTAACTTATGGGCTAGATGCTGTGAGCAGGGCAGGAAGGAGCCCCCTTCACTGAGAAGGGGAGTAGCCACACATTCACTCATATACTAACTTCAGGGGATTGGAGTCTAAAGCATTCAGTAGATCGACCTCCTTCTTCTCTTTATTATAATCCTATAGTAGCAACCTTCCTCCTACCTTATTGGTTTTATAGACCTCACCCAAATTATCTTGTTTATGCTTTGTCAGATACTTCTTTAATCCTAATTTGAAGTCCATCTCAATTCCCAGAAACATTCTAGAAAGACTCATTAAACAAGGCATTTGTATGCACCTAGAGTAGAACAAGGGGATGGACAACACACACCGTGAACCCATCAGGAACAAACCAGTCTGGTGTCCTGGCATGGCACAAATTCTTAGGCATCAAGTGAGAAGTGGCAGATGTCATGTACAGTGGCTTGAGGTAGGGTTTTAACATTGGATGTCCTGACCCCTTCTTGAGAAGATAAGAATGGGAAGTGCAAAACTGAAGTAATGGTACTTCAGGTTCTAATTATCAGTGGTTATCAAATGGAAGGACATATGGAAGGGATTTTTGCAGGGGTCTATTCTGATGCCAGATCTTTTTAATTCCTTCAGTTACCAGCCTGGATAATTAGCATCTCTGAGTGCCTCATTAAACCTGCATGTTACTGCAGGCTGTGAAGGACAGCAAAGACAACAGAATGCAGCATTAGCTAACAAATGTCAGAAATGACCTGAAACTTGTAGGGTAAAATTCAACAGGTACAACTTCAAGCATTACCTTTATGAAGTGACACACGTAAGGGAACCGGGTGGCTGCAACTTTTCAAAAGGACTCCAAGGTATAATAGAGAGAAAACTGAACACCAGAAATGGAAGAGGAAAACACCACCCTGGAGTGTATGAGCCAGGAGTAGCCTCCAAGACAAGCTGGAGTAATGTGCCTAGCTAGCAATGTGCACATCAAAATGCAGCTGAACGGAAAACAAAGTCAAAGGTTAGTGAGGATGCTGGGAAGCACAGTAACAAAGAAGGGCTGAAAGAATTGACAACAATTGAGTAGAGGAGGAAGCCAGAGTGAGGAGGGGAAGCATTACAGTTATCAAGTGTATAAGAAGTTGTTTCAAAGAAGGCCATAGCCATAGCAAATAGGCCATGAAAGATTTCAGCTCAGACAAACCTAAGTTAGGCTTTCAGGTAACATTAGGCTAGAAGTGTGCCAGATTGCTGGGGATGGCGCAATCTCCAGCACTGAAGGTATTTCAGAACTGGTTTCACAAACCTTTGTCAGGACAGGCATTGCTGCTACCAAGCTCTGGGTGGTTTTTTTGGGGGGGAGGGTAAGGCTTAACAGTATGATTTTACCTAATTGTAAGCAAACCACATGCAGGTGGCACAAAGCAGAGGGGGAAGCCAGCTGCTGCCACTGTTTGCCAGCAGACACTGGGCTTCTGTGCCACAGCCACAAGATGCCAGCTTTGGACCCGCACTCTTGTATAAGGCAGAAAAGAAAGGGAATCTGTGGAATGTAGGGAGTGGGGGGGAGGGAATATGCTTTGTGTCAGGACCTGGGCTGCACTCCCCTCCCCAGGAATTAAACCCAGCATTTAAGGCCAGTTTGCTGGGAAGAGCCAGGTGGCTTTGGAGCACTTTGGAAAACAGCTAGGAGAAGTGTGAGGGGTGTGCATAAGAACAACCCTTCCCTCCGTCTCCTGGGAGCTGTTTTCAGCCAAAGTTTTTCCTTTGTCTCCTACTTAAGCTACATTACAGTGTGCTGTGTCCTGGGGCGTGAGCCAGACCCTGACCTGGGCACCCGACTTAACCTCAGACCTACCTCATTGCAGTAAATTTGCCTGGTTACAGCCATGGGACCTGCCCTGCTCGCCTTGCTGCTGAGGCCACTGCGCTATGCTCCACTCCTGCGATTCCCTCCTTGCAGAGCAGCCACTCGTGGTGCTCCCTGACATTAGGTAGGTAAAGATACAGGGTTGTGAATCTGGCTTTGAGCTAGGTGGGGATGTGTCCCAGATGGGAATATGGGAGGAGAGATTAATGGCACACCTTCACCTTGATATATGTGCATGTGCTGTGGGGTCTGTGGTTGGTTCCAGGTGCTGGCACTGATGGTTACTCCCCACGGCGCCCACACAAACCACATTAAGGAAGGACTGCTCTTGTGGGAAGCTCTGTGTGCAAGTGCTTCCCTTCCTCTGCAACCAAAGCAATGGAGGGGACAGACTGTACAGAGCTTGGAAAGAGTCAGCAACATCCCCAGAGGGAGCACAGAACAGGGTGGGAGCCTGGCTTACAGTAGCAGCCTAAGTTCAAGCATAGCAAATGGGTTACTGGGGTTTTGGCCTGACCACATGAGGAAGTGATGGTGTTACCTGAGACAAAGGAAAGCTACATCCCTGGCAGGGAGGAAGAAGGCTTTGCTGGACTAGCAGGAGTTGGGAGGATAGAGCAGAAAGAGGGAGATGGTCAGGACCAGGTCTGCTTCCTTCTCCCACCTCCTGACAAAGGAGAGCTCTGCAGAGCGTGAGGTATTCACAGGAGAGCAGGGCCCAGGCAGAAGGCTGGGCTCCTCTTGGGTGTCAGCCCATCCTCTTGACCCCATGGGCAGCTGAGCAGGGAAACAAGACTCTAGGATGAGAGAAGATGCATTCCGAAACTCAAAGCACAAGATGAAAGAGGCCTTACCATGAAGCTAAGGTCCAAATGGGAGCTGAGATGGAAGAGAAAGAAATAAAAAGGAAGACCAGAAGGGGAGGCAGCTCCTGCCCTGATCTCTTTTCCCCCTTGCATTTGCACTTGCACAAAGGGTAATGGTTGGCAGTTTCTGGAGGCACATCCAGTGCACAGTGAGGACTCTGCTCTATCGCCACCTTCATGAGAAGCACAGAGAAGCCTGGACAGCAGAGGAACAGGAAAAGTATGCTTAGCCCTTGGTTGTCCAGCTCTTCTCGCAGTGGGTCTCAACCATAAAGGAGGTCAGTGTTATTTCTGTCACAGGTGAGGAAATGAGGGCTCCTGTAGGTAAAGGGACTTTCCCAAGTTAATGCAGGGGTTACAGAGAGAGGCCGGGTCTCTGTGGGACCCATTTCACAGCTCTGATTCCTGGCACGTGCTGTCCCTAGCACTAAAGGCTGTAAGTTTGTCAGCTTGTCTGGAGTCAGGGGTAGGATCAGAAACAATGCTCTAGAATGAAGAGCAGCAGCTAAGGGAGGAAAGAAAATGCAGAGACTGTGGCAGAAAGGGGACGTTTCCCCGGATATGTTGGCAAACACAGGGTGCAGTTATACCCTGTAGTGGCCAGGGAAGAGGTCTGCGGGAAGACAGGAGAAGTAGCTGCTTGTGAGCGAGGAAAAGCCGCAGGGGAAGATGAGAATTCCGGTGAAACTCCTGGGCCCAGGCGCGGCCCTCAAGGGGCTGCCGGGGCCGAACGTGTGGCACACGCCGCGGCGGTGGGGCCCTCACGACGCAGCGCTCCCTGGAGGGGCTGAGGGCGAAGCGAGCGGGCGATGCCGCTCCGGCCGGGGGGAGCGGGAGCGAGTGGGGCCGGAGCCACCAGGGACACGCAGCTCCCGGGGCCGGAGGGAGGCAGCGCTGCTCCCGCCCCGCCGCAGCGGCTGCCGCAAGGCGCCGGGGCTGCGGTCGCCCCGCCTGGGAGGGGTTAAGCAGCGGCCCCAGCCCGGGGGCGGACGGGGCGGCTGCGGCGGCGGCGGCTGCTATACGGCGGCGGGGCTCTAGGTGTCCTGCCTGGGAGGGTCCCTGCTGCATTGCAGCCGCCGCGCTGCTCCCTCTCCGCGCACACAATGGCGACTCCCAGCCCCAGCAGCGGCTCCGGCGCCGGCGGCGGGAGCGGGCCGGGCCCGGGCGGGCCGCAGGCGCACGCCGCCGCTAGCAGCATGCAGGGTAAGCAACCCCGCGCTAGGCCGCGGCCCGGCCGTCGCTTCCGGGCCGGGCGGCGCGCCCCGTTCTAGGCCTCGGCGGGCCGGGCTGGGCCCGTGGAGCGCGGTGCCCCCCGCAGGTTTCGCTCTGCCCGGGCCGAGCGCGGAGCCGCCGGGCGGGCGCTGACCCGGGCTGGGATGGAGGGTGGGCCGCTGGGCCCCGGCCTGGGCGGGCCGCGGCTCTGGGGACCCCTTCGGGCGCGGCCGTGCCGCCGTCCGGAGCGGCGCTGCCCCTCGGCGCGGAGCTGAGGTGCCCCAGGGGGGTGTGTGTGAGGATCGGTCCGGCCCCGGCAGGCTCCGCTCTGGGCCTGCCCCGCTGCTCCCTGCGGCTGCCGCCTCCCCCAGCGCCCGGCCTCGCTCGGCGGCTCCCCGGGAGGCAGGGCGGCCCCGGCTCCGCGCCTGGGGCTGCTGGTGGGTGGACGGGTCCCGAACCACTGCCCGTGGCCGGGGTCCCGCTTCCCCGTGCGGCAGGAGGGAACTGCGGGGCGGGACAAAGGCCGGCGGGACGCGGCTCTGGCTTTCTCCAGCCGGGGACGGTTTTGCGGCCTCTCCGGGGTGACCCGCGCAGGCCCCGTCCCCTCGCCGGGAGCCCCGCGGTGTTGTGGCCGGGCCCGGGGCCAGGGTTTGCGGCCGCTCGGCCGGCGGCAGGATGGCTCAGCACCGGCCCCAGGTCCCTGCGCTTACCTGTGCTTCCTAAGGCAGGTGTGTGGTAAGGGCCGTTCAGCAGTGAACTTCTGCTTCGGTCTGGTTTCCTTGTGATGGAAATTTACAGTGCTAGAGCAGGGTCGTGTTGCCGGGTTCCCGTCTGCACTTGTTGATCCTGGAGCCGTCTTGCAAAAACGGTGGGTGTTTATTTTTTAGAAAGGCTATAGCAAACGTATTTGAGTTTTGCTTTGGACTATTGGAAAATCCCTTCTGCTTGAGCAACGTTTTAGGCATTGTTAGGGCGAGGTGATGTAGTGCTGGGGTTTTATTTATTTTTCATTAATTTAGTATGGGGATGGTAATACTCGAGCTGTTTGCCTTGTTTGGGGTAGTTTCTTACTTTTTTAATAGAAGGAAAGGTCGCACTCAAAGCAGACAATGTTGGTCACAATTGTTTGCTGTAGTTCTGCTAGGACAGAAGGCACCGAGACTGATGGCACCTGTTTGGGCAGAGAGGTGATGGTACAAAATGAAGAGTTTAGTGTGGTTGGAATAAAAAGGTGCGTTTTTGCTGGTTGCAGCATCCCTTGTGTGAAGCTCTTGTGCTTGCTGGATGGAGGAGCAGGTACCTCCCTGCTGAGCCTGGGAAAGGTGATGGTATCTGTGTTCACAGCTTTGGAAAACCTGAATCCCAAACCTTGTAAATTAAGTGCGTGGAGTAAAAACACTTGACCATGGTATATTAGAGTTGTTGTGGTAAAACAAGCCATTGCCTTGCTGTAGTGCACTTACAGTCCTCTGTGTTGCTCCGTGTATTTTCACCTGACCCCCGTTTTTCCTGTCTGTGAGATGTTCCCCTGAATCCTGCATGTCCTCAGGGCTGAGAGTTGTGTTTGCACCCTGACTCTAGAGCTGGTGATAGTGCATCATCTGCATCCCTGGTCGGTCGGAGGAAGGGCAGTTGTTGGTTTAAAGTGCCTATTTAAATATGAATTCAAGACAGCAGGGCCAGGTTGGTGATATCCAGGTGTTTGTGGTGGAAGCTGGTGTTGGAGTGGTTTTTGTTCAGATGCTGGGGGAGAAGCTGAATGTAGAATCTTTGTGGGCTTGGGAGTAACAGGTTGGTGAAGCAAGTTCTGGAGCAGCAAGAAGCTCCATCCCAGGAGGAAAGTCCTCTGCCAGGATCCCTCTGGTGCCACATAACCCCTGTGCTGAGGTGCCATGGCCTTGTTCCCTGCTGTGTCTCCCAGCATGTGTCCTGTAGCTCCCTGCTGAGGCCAAGTCAAGCTGAGCTGCTGCAGAGCAAACCCATGCAGAGTGGTGAACGTTCCACAGCTCGGATGCCCAATGCTTGCTTGTGGTGGGGTTGGGCAGGAGCTGGGGCGAGGGATGTGTGGGAATGCATTGCGGGGTGGGGAGGAAAGTAGGGCTGTTTCAGTCTGGGTTGAATTGGCTTAAACACTGCTGAGGTGGGGCAGGGAAGTCATTAAGCTGGAAACAAGTAATCAGAAGAAAAAACCCACCTGAAGTTTTACTCTGTTAATTTTCAGCCAGAAGCAGCCTCTGACCTGGCTTGTGCAGCTGCTGCTGCAAGGGAGGTGGTGGGACAGGGAGAGGATGGACTATCTCCTACAGGTTTGGCCTGTGCCCACCACAAGGGCCTGAGGCAGTGCTCCTCTGAACAACCATCCATTGCTTCTGGAGAATACCCATCGGGCATGTTCTTGGGCAGGCTGGGGTGAGAGCCTCTCTCTGGGGTTTCTGTTTCAGTATGAGGGCCAATGGTTTCATAAGGGGTATCTGCTGTTGGAGAGTTTGGCAGGGGCTGAAGAGAGAAAGGAGGCTAGAGGTGGTGGTACAGGGGAGAAGTCTTCATGAAAATTGAGGCCCACCATGCTGATGTCTGGAGCTAGGGCTGCACATCAAAGAGGTCTCGGCAGGCCACCCTGTTTTGTTTTAAATTTGATATTCTGCAGTGTTTTTGATGCCCCTTGAGGTGACAGTGCTGAGATGAAGGGCCACCTCGCTGTCCTCATGCTGGGCTTCCTGTGTAGCTGTGGTCCTCAAGCCTTGTAGTCAAGCAAGGGGTTGCTTCAGACTTCACACTGTTAGTGTTCTGCATGCCCCAGCTACATGATCCTGGCTAACTGCACCAGCAGTTCATGCCCATGAACCTGGGACCTTACTTTCTTCCCAGACACCCCCTGGGCTGGTTGATGGTGCCATATTCAAGGCAGTCACCAGCTTAGAGACAACACAGAGCTGCAGTTCTCAGTGTTGGAAATAGGTTCTAGTTTATGATCTTTGAAATTCCTGTTTGTTTTCTGGGTGCTGGGGCTTGCTGCTGTGAAGAGCTGTTGTCCTTAGTTATGTGTAATGCTGGAGTAGTCCTGCATGTGTAGCCTGCTGGGTGTTTTGTGGAGAAAAAGGAGGTTCTGTAGGAAGCAGGATATCCCACTTGGACAGTGATTTAAAAGAAACCAACACCCAAACTGTAATTGGAGCAGGTTTGCATTTCTCTCATAGCCAAAATAAGTGATTGTCTTTACTGCTGGCATTGTTTGAACGATGGTGGTGTGGAATCTGCTGCCATTGTTTGAAGGATGGTGGTGTGGAATCTAGACAAGGAATGAGTTCCATGACATAGGAAGAATTTCGATTGTAATTGCAACCTGTGGAGTCAGTCATCCTACCTCTAGTGCCAAGCAGGAGCTGAAACTGCTTTTAACTGGCCTTTAAAGATTAAGCTCCTGCATCCAGCATTCAGGAAGACTGGAGGCAGCTGGTACTTCATAGAATCATAGAATGGTTTGGGTTGGAAAGGACCTTAAGATCATGCAGTTCCAACCCCTCTGCCATGAGCAGGGACGCCTCACACTTGACCATGTCACCCAAGACTCTGTCCAGCTTGGACTTGAATTCTGCCAGGGATAGAGAATTTACCACTTCTTTGGGCACCCTGTGCCAGCACCTCACCACCCTCACAGTGAAGAACTTCTGTCTTATATCTAACTTGAATTTCCTGTGTTTAAGTTTGAAACCATCCCCTTTTGTCCTATCACTACAGTCCCTGAGGAAGGTCCCTCTCCAGCATCCTTGTAAGACCCTTCAGACACTGGAAGCTTCTCTTGAGGTCTCCACCCAGCTTCTCCAGGCTGAAGAGCCCCAGTGTTCTCAGCCTGGCTCCATGCAGGAGGTGCTCCAGCCCCTGATCATCCTTGTGGCCTCCTCTGGACTTGCTCCAACAGCTCCATGTCCTTGTGTTGAGCACACCAGAGCTGTACACAGTACTCCAAGTGGGGTCTCATGACAGCAGAGCAGAGGGGTAAGATCACTTGGTGAGGTACTTGTTGCTTGCTGTGCTCTGCTGTCTTTCTGTAGCAGAGCGTATTACTGTGGGTGTCTTTCAGAGTGTACATGATGGATCAGATGTGGGAAATCCCATCCTGTTCAGCTGGAATTTGGGATTCCCGGTTCCGTTCACATGTGTGGTCCTGTCTACTCTCTGCATTGAGGTCTTTGCCCTTTCTACCCCACTGCAGCCATAATACCTTTTTGTTTTCAGCAAAAATCAGAGAAGGTCCATATCTGGTTAGAGAGTCCTCAGTGGATATGGCAAGGAACCTGAGGGGAGAGTTGCCCAAAGGGTCTCCGAGTGCATCAGGAGATGCTCTTGCCATTGGATGCCATTTGTGCATTGGTGGCTTACTGGAGCAGGGAGGTGCATTTCTGCCTATGTATGAGCAACTTCTGCTCTGTTCCTTTCTCTGCCCAGTGGACAAGAGCTGCTGGGAGGCTCTTTGAGAGGTCAGAAATTGTTTGTGTTGGGCAGAGGACAGAATTGACAAACACTGTGGTGGACTTTGTCAGTCATTGTGGTCAGATGAATTTGGTGTCAGGGTGTAATCCACATTGTGCCTTTGGGGTAATCATAGTTACTTCAGCCATCACTGTAAAAAGCTGAATATTATTTGAAACCATTTATGGGCATCACTGTGGCTAGTACAGAGGTTCAGTAAGAGATATTGTGAGTCCTGTATCCTCATCCTCTTTTGTGTTGCTGCCTTTGTGAATGCAGGCAGTGGCTGAAGCCGTTCTTCTCCCCACTGCTGAAGGTGTTTCTTGATCCAGGCCCAGCAGGAGGAGAGGAATGTTGATGCCTTGATGCTGAGATGTTGGATGTGCTGGATCACGGTGTGGGCACTATCAAAAGGCTGGTGTGTGGACTCATCTGGTAGCAGAGGGGCAGAACAGGTGGGGAAAGTAAGAAGAGCCCCAGTAAATGTGGCAGTTTGCTCAGGGAACCTCAAAGAGGATATT